CTGGGCTCTGCCCCTTGCCTTGCTGCCTGGGGCCTGGAGGTGTGTGTACACAACATGGAGTTAGGGCCAGCCACAGCCCCCTGCCTGCACACTGGGGCACTTCCCTTGACAGCCTCTCAGTTACTCAGCACATGTGAGCAAGGCAGTGAAAACAGGGGGCCCAGGGCAAGTGGGAGGGTGTATAAAGTAGGACAATGAGAAAGGGGTGCATGGGGGGGTAGAGGTGGGAGCAGTAGTGCTTAAGAGGTGAGTGTGTAATAACTAGGAGTACAAGAGGGTGCATATGAGACAGTGGTGTATGAGGTTTGAGGGAGAATTTGTGACAAAGGGGTGAGAGGTGTAAATTCCAGACTGAAAGGACAGGAGGTGGGACATCGCTAAAATGCAACTTTGATCAGGAATGAAAGAGCAGGAGTGTATTTAGACAGGGTGTGAATCTGAGAGTCCCAGAAACTTGGGGTGAGAGGACCAGAATATTGTGAAATTGTGTGTCTCAAGCAGGTGGTCATCTGAGTGTGGTAGGAGGTTGGGAGGGATCTGGTCATTCTCCCTTGTGGTATCCTTAAGGCAAGGAAGCCAGGACTTTTCATTTTATTCTGAGGTGGTTTTTTTAAAAATCAGAAACAAGAGAACTTCTGAGGGATTTAATGAGCAGTACCGCAATGTGTTGGTGAGAGGGATATCCAGGGAGCAGCTGGGTGGACTCAGTTGGGTGCATGGGTAGGGACCTTGGAAACTGAGGCTGAGACTCACGTGTGTGGCAGGTTGTGGAGCCTGATGATGGGGAAAGTAGGATGGGGCGAGTGCTGTGAGTCGCAGGGAAGGGGAACCACACAAAGTTGGGGACTGCATGAGAATGAAGGCGCCCCTGTAAGCGAGGCTGTAGACTGACGGGGAGCGTGTGACAGTGAAGAAGAGGGGGTGGGGTAAGAGGGTGTGCTGTCGTCTAGGCTGGGGATTCGGTCTTTTGATGCCTCTAGCAGCGCGGGTGTCGCTTGCCTGCGGCTGGCTTGGGGCCTGGGGGCGTGTGTGCGCGTGTGCGCCCGCGCGTGGCTGTGCCTCGGCGCAACCGGGTGTGTGAGCGCGGGCGTGAGCAGAGCGTACAGCCTAGGCGGCGGACAGCCTGGGTTATCTGAGCCTCTCGGTCTTGGGTGGCTGCGCCCAGATCTCCCGGCGGCCGAGGCAAAGGCGAGACGCGCTGTCCGGCCGCAGAGGAGCAGAGAAGTGAGACCCAGGCCCAGACCTCAACGGAAGGGAGCAAAGTATGGAACAGCGCGCGGGCCGAGCAGGTGAGAGCGGGGAGCCACCCGCCAGCGCCACAGTCAAGGGGGATGGCTGAGAAGGATGGGGGCGACCAAGCTGAGGGCGGACTCCACTCCTTGCTTGCCTAGCGGGGCTCTTGTAACCACTGGGGACTGGGCTCTCCGGCCTTTTCCCATCTCTGGGGACTCCTGGGCTTTCCCTTCCAGTGTTCTCTAAATCTACTAAAAACTTTCCACCCAGAAAATGTAAGTTTTACAACTTCTCTTGGTCTCTTTGCAGAACCTGGCCTCTCCTTTCTGTTGTGCGTTTAGGACTTTGTCTCTCCACTTTCCCTCAGGCTTCCAGAGTCCCCAAGGCATGATGTTCATACATGTAGTTTATATAAGTATTTTGCACAACTTCCTCCAAGTTGGGAGAACTGGGAGGGCTTTGGTTTCTAGTGGAAACAACACGTGGGTGTGTATACGTGTGTGCTAGAGGGTGGGGACATGCTGTGGGCACATGTGTGAGAATCTTGTGTATTTGAGTAGAAACCAAAGCGTAAGTGCTAGTGTAGATATATGTGCCTAACATGTGTGGAGAGAGGGCTCTACCCCCAAAATAAACAATTCAAGGGAGGCCTGGGACACTGGGAAAGATGGCAAGCCCCAAGGGGCCCAAGTAGGGAGGAGACTCTGAAGCTGCTTACCCAAAAAGCTAAGGGAGAGGAGGGCTGCAAGCTCTCTTTTCCCTTCCTTCCTCCCTTCCTTCTGCTCTCCTACAGGTCTGCCAGCTCAACTCTGCCTGCCCACTAGGTGCCCCAGGGTAGTGCAGGGGTGGGGAGCTAGGGATCCAAGTTTAGTTTTGGATTGGTAGGGAGGGAGAGGATTGGATCAGGTTTCCAATCGTTTACAAATAATTTCACAGAGGTCAAGGACTAAGTCCAGGCCCTTTTTGCCTCGCTTGCTCCTCCTTTCCCCCAAATCTCTTTCCTTTTACCAACAGCTCAGGTTCTGATTCTTTCAGCAGACAATCCAGTTTCCACCCTCAGCACTGCCTTTACTCTACTTTCTTGCCCCAGTCCCTGGACTATCTCCATTCCCCCTTGGGGGCCTTGTCCCCGCTGGGGAAACCGGAGCCCCAGGAATGTCAACTGTGGCCTCCTGGGCTTTTAGGGCTCTGGGCCACCCCTCCGCACCAGAGGTTTAAGTAGGGAGATCAATAGCAAACAGTTGTAATGATCTAATTAATTATGGCAAAATTAAAAGCGAGTACAAAATCAATCTCTGATGGTGTTGAAGATGGAATTCAATTGAGAGCCCATCTGTGCACCCCCTCGACCGTATAAATATGCAGCCCAAGGACAGACCTAATGGCTGGGCCTTCCTGGGAACCTCTCTCCCCCTTTCTTCCTCTCCAGCACAGGGCTTCTCTCTCCCTCTGTCTGAATCTATTTTGCCTCCTGCCGCCTCCTGACCCCACCCCTGCTTCCTTCCCTGTCCTGTCTGCTCAGGCTTCCTACACTCCCACTTTCCATTTTCCCTCTTGGAACGTGGCTCTCCCTGCCACGGCTCCTTGCAGGCCTGAGGTGCGTGGACCTGGTTCCCAGTCCAGACAAGTTTCCCAGAAGACGCAGCCAGGTCTCCTCCTCAGCACTGCGGGAAGGAGAAGGCAGAGTGTTGGGGGGCATCCCTGACCGCCTGTCAGGGCTCTTATCCCAAGTTTCCTGGCCCTCAGGACACTCCAGAAGGGACCAGAGCGCTTACCCAGTAGCGGCTCTCCCGGCGCAAGGTGCAGAGCAGCCGGGAAGACTAGCTGCGCACCACACACCCTGTCCCTTCCCCCCCTTTCCCCCCCGCTTTTGCGGGTGCGGAGATTGCACTCCCGCCAGTCGCGGTTTGGGGAAGGGTGGGGAGGAGCTGTGGAACTGGAAAGGAGGCAGGGCTGTTTCTATCAGAAGGAAATCACTGTTCCCTTCAAGGCGGCCCCACCGAGCACTGCAGTCTTCCGCCCTCCGAGCGGCCTTTGCTCTTTCTTTCTCCTCACCGCCTCCTCCCGCTCTTCTGCCCTCACCTCCACCGTACACGCTTCTGGCCGGCGCACAACTTCGGGGGGGGGCGGGGATCGTCCCCAGAGGTCCCCGGCGCCCCTTTTGGCCCCATCCGTCTAGTTCAAAATGACAATGACACACACGAGCGAGCAAGCGTGCCTGGAATACGCCCGAGCGCAACCGCCGCAGCCGGGTTTGCGAAGGATGCGGGTTTTATTTAGTGTTGCTGAGCCTTCTCGGGAGCAGCGAAAACCATCAGGAAAAGGCGAGGGAATGGGGAGGGAAAGAGAATCCGCAACTAGGTCAATTGTGGTCTTCGGCGATCGCCGCACATACCCCCAGAACCATAAAAACAAGACCTTTATTTGATGTCCTCCCTTTTACTCCTCCGGCCTGTCCCAGCTGGCTCTCAGGATCCCTGTCACTGGTCCCCTGCCTCTCCCTCCTGGGACCCTGGGCCCACTTCCTGGCCCACACTGAGTTCTCAGGGTTCTTTCTGCCCTCGGAGACCCCTCCCACTCCCTGGTCCTGCCGAAGGGCCCGCAGAGCCTGGGGGAGACACAGTCTGACGCCTCCCCCCCTCTTTTGCCAGGCCTCCTCACCCCATTATTAATTGCTGTGTTGACCTGCAGGATTGATTGGCGGCCCCGCTGGAAGAGGCTGCAGAGGCCTTGGCCTCCGAGAAGCCTCAGCTGAGGGCAGAGGGAGGAGGGGGAGGTGCTGGATATGGGTCCTGAGCTCCTAGCTCAGCCCCGCCTGGGACACAGCTGTTTGCCTAGACACCCTTCTCCATTCCCCACCCCCAACAAACACACCTTTTAAGCACTCTTACAGAACTTAAACACACACTCACGCGATCCCCTCACCAAGAGACGTTCAGCCCCCAAGGAGACACAACAGAAATTCTCCTTAATTGATTTAGAAATTGAAAGAGGCTTCCTCCCTCCATTAGTCAGTTTCTTCAGTATATTCGTTAGCCGCGGGTCTAGACCACCCCGCCGGTTAAGACGTGGCGAAGCGAAGTACTGGGACCCGGGCTTTTTCTGTCTGAGATTTACTTTGCATCTTTTTTTCCCCCCAGGAACAGTTACCAAAGTTAAGAAACATTCCTGGATGCGGGTAACCCTTAAAGTGTCAAACCAAAACACTTTTCCCAGAAAGAGCCGGTGCCCTGACTCCGGAGGGATTCAGTTTAGCCCTTTTGTCTCAAGTTCGGGGGATGGACCGCGAGGGTGAAGGGCGGAGGCTTGCAGCCTCCAGGGCAGGGGTCTAACCCGGCGGCGAAGGTCCTCCCCTCCCCAACCCTCCCCCGCCTGCCTAACCCCGTGCGCTCACACAAGTGCGCACACAGACTAACCCTCACACTTACACGGACCCCGCAGCCACAGCAACACCCCCTGCCCCGACCCCAGGCCAAAGGCCCGCCGGCCAGGAACCCCAGCGGGAGGGAGCTCCCGGACTTCCCGTCCCGCTCCAGGCTGGAGTGGGCGGAGGCGGCAGGAGTAGACCAACCTCGCCGGGTCCTCCAGAGCCCCGTTCTCCTTGGTTCTCTCCCTGTCTCACCAGTCCCTCTATCCCCTGTTTTCCCCTCTCCCCGCCGCTCCGGTCCTTTGTCTGCAGCCACTTCACGGAGCGGAGCAGTCCGTCCCCGCCTGGGCGGCCCTGCCCTTGTCCTCCCTGGGTCTCTAGCGGGCCTCCCCTGCCTTACCCGCTCCCGGCTCTGGCGCGTTCTCCACCTTCTCCTCACAACCGCACAGCTGCTGGAAGAGGAGGAAGGGAGGGCAGGCTGCGCGGATGGATCCGAGAAATAGATTTGGTGCTTGCTTGCAACTCCCGGACAACTCAGCCCGCCGGGCTTCTCCCGCCCCTCTCCAACTGTTCCTTCGTGCTGCGGAGCCGAGCTTCCTCGCCCGGATTTGGCCCCTTCCTTTCTTTGTACACTGGCTGCGGTTATTTCGCTCCCCCTGGTCTGCCTGGCAAACCAAATCTGGAGTTGCTCCCCCCCCCTTCTAGCACTCTGTTCCCTTTTGGCCGCCACTTGCGACCGCCTGCCCCCTTCCTCCGCAGCCCCCTTCGTCGCGGTGGCAGTGGCGGGTAGTGCCGGGGACATCCAGGGCCCACCGGCACTGTCTCCCTCCACCGAAGCCAGGTCAGGCTGCTGGCTCAGGGCCTGGCTGCGTAGAGGGTTAATCATTACTTCACCACGGACGCTCAGCCTCAGTCAAACTCTCTCACCCTGGCTTGGAGAGGAAGTGAAGGGACTTTTGGCCAGGTGGGGACCTCGGCATCGCCCAAACCTGCCTCTGCAGGCCTTCCAGAGACAGGTGCCTACTCCATTCCCTCAGCATCCTGTTCACGTCCTTTTCTTCCTCACCCCTCTCTTCCCTTCCACGCCTCCCCTTGGTCGGGCCTCTCCCCCACTGTCTCATCTCCGCTCTGGCTTTGGCAGGTTGACTGCAGGTCCTGGGAAGACTAACTTTCTTTGTTTGGAACCGGACTGGACGGGATTTCCTTCCCCAAGTCTCCGCCAACGGGCCAGCTCCTCCCGACGGTTTTGGCAGACTGGCCCAAAGGGGACCGCGCCTGAGGCCACAATTAACCCGGCTGTTGGGGGGAGGGGAGAATTTAACTGATCCTCTAGCAGCTGCGCTAGTGCAGTGGGGCGAGGGTGCAGGAAGAAGTGGTAATGAAGGAGTGGCAGGAAAGATAGAGAGCAGAGTGATAAACATGGATGGGGTGTGGTATAGTTAGTTAGTGGAAAGAAAAAAAAATCCTGAAAAGGAGGAACACAGGAAAGAAGGCGGCGAGGAATTCTCTAGTTACCTTTATAGGATAGAAGTTGGATGGAAAATACCATCCCCTGCCCTCCCTAAGCGCCCAGATCCCTCCCTTCCCTCTCTGTGGAAGGTTAGGGGTTCAGAAAGCTAGGCATTTATTCTTTCATCTACTATGGAAATGTTTGGTTTTCAGAATGCTTTCCTATTGGCTAGCTCCACGGAGTAGGCAAGACAGGTGTAATTATCCCTATTTTGCAGGCGAAAAAACTGAGGCTCAAAGAGGCAAAGGGACTGTACAGATGGTGGCAGCTGATCCTTCCCGTGGGCTGTGGAGTGAGTGGTCCCTTTAGCTGTGCAGAGGTCCATGAGTATCTGGGATGGGGGGGGGGAGGCACAGCCGATGTCCAGGTCCGACCAGGACCTCACGGGGCTTCTTGCCCCACCCCCTAGCTTGTCCTCTGTTGGACAGAGCCCTCTATTCCTACCCGATAGACCAAATGGCCCGTTTTCCCCTGGCTTGACTATTTTTTCCGCTCCTCAGTCGGGTGGCCCACCGGCGGCAGCCACCTGGCAGGCCCGTGCCGCTAAGAGGCCGCTTTGGTGGCCAAGTGGCTAGCATTGTCGTTTCCCCTCAAAGGGGCTGCGAAGGGCCGGGCGTGTCACTTGGACCTCTAGTGCGGAGAAGCCGGGTTAAGGGAGGAGGGGCAGGGGAGGATAAAGGCGCAGCACGTGCGCCAGGCCGCCACAGGACCAACAGACCGAGCGGGCGGGGCCAGCCGACAGTCAGGCCCCCCGGGCTTCTCTGGGGGGTGGAGGGGGGCAAATATTAGGAACAAAAGCGGGAAAAGAAGAGTACAAGCAGGAGGGAGGCAGTGAGCAAGGGAGGGAGCGAGGAAGCAGAAATTAGGGGGTCTTAGATGAAAAAAAAAAAGGAAAGTAGCTTTAGGGGGAATGTGCCGTGGAGTGTGAAATTGCAGCCCATGGTGCTCCATATTGTACCAGAAGCTCTTCCAAAAAAAAAAAAAAACCATCCTCCAACGTGACCAGAGGGCTAGGAAGGGGGAGGGGCAGGGAGCGAATGGGGAGGAGGAGGGGAAAAGGCCAGGCGGGAGCTGGTCCGGCCGAGCTGGAGAGGGGGCCGGGTTCGTGCGCCCGCTGCCTGGGATCTGATCTCCAAGTGTACGCTCTGGCGTGCGCCGAGACCCTGGGGGCGAGTGGGCCGCGGCTGTCGCGGACTTGGATTATCAGACGAACTTTCTTTTTCCCTTCCTTTTTTCTCTCTTTTTTTTTCTTTTTTTTTGGTGGTGGTGACTTCCAAAACTGGGAATAATTCAGAAAAGGAGCTCGGCTGCGGAGCATCTGCACTGCGCTACCCGCCTCTTGTTCCCTCCTCCGTTTCTGCTTCCCTTCCCTTCGGACTAGTTTTTCCCCCCTCTCGGTTCTAAACAGCTTTTCCCCCCGCCCTGAACTTTAATGCGTTTAATTTGGTCCGCGCTGTGGGGAGCATTTCCTAGGGAGATACATTTAATTTCGGAATTTCTAATCCCCTCCCTGAGAGCCCAGGCCCTAGCTCCCCTCGCCGTTCCCGGGAGGTGTCAAGGAGTGGAAGGAGGAAGGCAAGCCCAGGCCACCCGGGCGGGGCGCAGCTGGGGGGCTCTCGAGTCCTTCTCCCCCCCACTCCCCCCCCACCCGCCAAGCCCCCCGCGGCCCAGCCGCCTTCCCCAACAGCTCGAGGTCGGCGCCCAGGCCGAGGGTCAGGGCCTTGCCTGCGGAGGGAAGGCAGCCACGCCTCTGCCTTTCCTTGCCGGGGCAGAAAACCCTGGGCCAGGGACCGGGACACCGGAAAATGAACAGAAGGATCACGAAAGGAGCGGGTGCAATTGGAAGCAGCGACAGGGTTTGCACATGCACTTCGCTTCATGAACGATGTGCCCAGAAACGCATTTTGGAGTTTGGGGTGCTAGTCGCGCTTTGTTTTGGCTTGGGGGCCTGTGCATGTGTACATTGTAGAGGAGGAGAGAGGATCTCAACAGGGACCACCGCCTCCTACACCCCGGGAGAGTAGGCTCCAGACAACCGGAGACTCAGGCGGGCCGCAGCTCCACTGGAGGAAGGATGCAAGGGCGGGGGCGCCGGGCGCCAGGCAAGCCTGGCAGGGAAGGGAGCGGAGAAGGCAAAGAAACGGAGATCCACAAGGAAGATTTATTGGGCAGATCAGATGCACAGAGGCGGCTAATGAAGCAAATCCCGAGATGGGTATCAGAGCAACTCCCCAAAAGTTTATTTGCCTTTAAATTTCCGCAGGGAGGCGGGCGCCTTGTTTGAAGTGTAAATGCCCCTAGGTTGGGGGGTGGAAGGGCCGCTTTGAAAACACCAGAGAGAAAAGGTTCATTTAGAAGCAGACGGGAAAAGCAACCAACCCTGACAGGTTGGAGCCGGGGTTGTGTTTGGGGTTGGGTTGTTTTCTTTCTTTCTCTTTCTTTTCCTTTTTCCTCTTCTTTCTTCTTCCCTTTTTTTCCTTCTTGCTTTTTTCTCCTCTGCCAGGCTCTATAGAAGAAGAAAGGAGAGAACAGGAAATGGAGCGTCACAGGGAGAGGACAGTGCCTAAAGAGAAATCTGTAGGCCAGCCCTTCAGCCTAGAGCCTTGGGAGAAGGCAGAGCCTTGGCTGAAAGGGTTTCTAATCACCAGTGAGCGGGTTTCTAGACCCAGGAATCTGCTGGAGCTGAGGAAGCTGCCAGGGGCTGACCTGGTGGGAGGGTGACAGTCCAGCTAGTACAGTGCTGGGGGAAGGGTCTTACGAGGGGTAAGTTTTAGAATCTTAGAGGCTACCTAGGAATGGAACCATCATGGAGGAGTCTTCACTTCTCAGGGGGTGCATGTGAAGGATAGGTGTGTGAGTAAAACTTCCAGCATACTTTGTGCATTAAGTCCCCTTCTTTGCAAAAGGTGAAAATGCCTCTTTGCAAATGCCTGTTGTCTGCACCCACATTTCATCATATGTGTAATAGAGAGATATGTCCAGCTGGTTCTAGAAATATCTGTGAGTCTATGTGAGGAGGAAGTTCTGCCCACAGTCTGGCTTCTCCAATAGTTCAGACTCCCCAAAACCTAACTTCCTGGACCAACATAGGGAGGCGTGAAGGCAAAGGGCTCCTTGAGTTCTGAGCTCCTTTCAGTAATGACCCTTCCCTGATGCTTCCCCCCACCCCAATTCTGTGTTAATAACCTCCCTGAAGGAAGCTCAAGGCTGTACCAGCGAACACCACCTGAGAGCCCCTTTCTCCCAGGCCTGGGAGCCTTTCTCTTTGGGCTGTGGGAACTCTGTTTTCCCTTTTCACTTGCCACACGAAGTTAGTGCGTGTTCGTGGGGTTGTGAGGCCAAAGCAAACCCGGGAGCGCCATCTGCAGGTCTCGAGAGGAAGAGACTGACCTTTGAGGCTGGACCCTGCGCCTTCAACCTCCTGCCCAAGGGAACTATCTTGGCCGCCCTAGAGAAGTGGGTGGGGGTTGCTAGAGAGGGGCCAAGCGGGGAGGGGGGTTTTCCTCCCAGAAGTTACTCCGCAGGTGGATTAAGCGGATCCGGCTCAGGAGGATCCAGGAAGTAGGGCAAATGCTAGGATCCCAGCAGAACCGACTCCCTAAGGAGTGGGAGGCTCTGAACCCAGTTGGGCTGAGCCTAATACTAGCCCCGCCCGGGGGTTAAAGGCGCCCCGAAAACCCGGGTGTAAGAGACCCAGTAGGAGTCTCCCTCTGGCTGAGTGGGGCCGGTGCGGCCTCCATCCTAGCTACCACTTGGGCTCCAGCCAGCGGGACAGGGGTGCGAGTCCGCGGCGATTCCGCGGGCGCCAGGGTCTGTTGGCAGGGGCCGGAAGCGCCTCGAGTCCGGGAGGCAGGAGCGCAACGCGGGCTTCCCTGAGCCGCCCTTTCGTAGACCTAGGGAAGCGGGGGGAGGAGGAAAGGAGGGAGAGAGAGTTAAAACATCAGCTGAAGTGCCAAGATGATTTATGAGACGAGGGAAAATATTTCATAAAGATCTCCCGGATATTCTGTATTTAACCAGTTAGGAGACAAAGGGCTTTCTCCTGCCTGGTGCGTGCAAGCGGACCCGAGCGAGCAAGGGAGCGAGTGCGGACAAGGGCTGCGGAGGCTGGGCCAGCGGCTCCGGCAGGAGTGGGGCCGGGCCGAGCGCGCTGCGCCCCCTGCGCTAGCTCAGGATCCGCGGAGCTGGCAGGGGGCGGCGCTCAGCCTCGTTCGAAGCCTCTTCTCCCCAGCCGGGGAGATCCAGCCTTGGTCTCCCGCGTTCTCTGCCGCCAGCGACCAGCCGCTCTGCACAGTCTCCCTACCCAAGCTCTCCTCCTCGGCCACCCCAGGGTCCAGGAGCCAAGTCCCTGGCCCTCTCACTGTCCGTTGGGTCCCACTGAGGCAGGTGGATCCTCGCCTTAGGTCTCCAGCTCGCTTCTAAACCGAGCGTTCCGGGCTGCCCAGACCCCTATTGGCAAGGGGACGAGGGAAGCCCTACGCGCAGCCGCGCGTGGGACAGGAGAGGACTAACTGCCGGGCACTTTGCCCCGGAATGAGAATTGGGGGTGCGTGGGTGGGTAGGTACCTCAGGAAGGAAAGGCGAAAGGGAAGGACCAGAGAGAGGAAGGAAGAACCAGGAAGGAACGGAAGGGAACTCAAACCGGAGACTAGGGGGGTGAAGACTAGGAATGTGGACCCGGCTCGGTGCGGCGTGGCTCATACGGGCACTGGCCGGTGGATGGCAGGGCTCGGTGAGTTGGGACTGTGAGCCAGGCTTCCGAGCGCGGTGCGCTCCGCGGCCCTCCGTCGTTGCCTGAATATTCATTAGACTGGCAGCTCTTTAGCCTTATCTAACGTTTATCTTATCGGCGAGTTTCGTTTCTCAGTGTAGTTTTAATCCCGGGCTCCCCTTCCCCCTCCCCCTGGCCCGCTCCCCTCCCTCCCTCTTCCTTCGCTCGCTGCTCCCTCCACCCTCCCGTTTCCCCCTCCCGCACCCTCCCCTCGCCGGCACCGGAGTGACAGGCGCGGGGCCCTCCTCGCCGAAGCTCGGGGCTCCGGCACTGGCGAATCACAGAGTGGTGGAATCTATTGCCTTTGTCTGACAAGTCATCCATCTCCCAGCGCGGGGAGGAGGAGGGGGTCTGGAGGGGGCTTTGCAGCTTTTAGAGAGACACACACCGGGAGCCGAGGCTCCAGTCTCCGGCCGAGTCTTCTCGCAGCCGCAACCCACCTGGGGCCAGCCCAATACTGGTGGCGCCGCTCGGCTCCCTCCCTCCCTCCCGGCCCTTGGGCCGCGGCAGAGTGCGCCTGCCTTTTCCGGGGGCGGGGGCCCGGCTCGCGCTCTCCCCTCCCGAAGGCGCCCGCTCGGACAACCCAAGGATTGCTACTTCTCTGCCAACTTCGCCAACTCACCGGCACTTGGAGCGGTCCGGCTCCCTGCCCGGCGCCCTCGCGCCGCCCCAGCGCCTCGTCCTCTCCGACCGCCGCCTCTCGGATGACCAGGTTCCAGGGGAGCTGAGCGAGCCGCCTTCCCCTCCCAGCCTCAGCCCTGGCCGCAGTGGCCGCCAGCGCCATGCGCCCCCAGATTCCCCCGGCCCGGCCCGCCGCCTCTGGGCCGTTCTGCTGACCGCCCAGCCCCGAGCCCCGACGGTGGGAAGTTGCGGCGGCTGCGGTTGCAAGCTCCGGCGGGTCCCGGAGGAGTCCTCTCCGGGAGCGCAGCGCGGCGCCCCCAGCCCCCGCGCGCCCCGCGGCAGCCGGGCACCCGCTCACACCCCCCCTCCCACCGTCCCTCCCTTTTCTCCTCAAGTCCTGAAGTTGAGTTTAAGAGGCGACACGGCGGCGGCGGCCGCGCTGCTCCCGCTCCTCTGCCTCCCCATGGATATGCACTGCAAAGCAGACCCGTTCTCCGCGATGCACCGTGAGTACCGGCGCCCGGCTCTTGTCCCAGCTAGGGGCTCCCCTTTCCAACCCGGTCCCGTCTGGCGCGGCCCTGGCCCCCGGTGCTCAGGTCCCATCTTGGAGGCCACGCTGGCTTCTCCCAGTTCCCCCTTTCGTTCTTCCTCTTTTCCTTATTTCCCAGTGTTTTAAAGTCTTCAGTTTCTCTCTCTTCTGCCTTCTGTCACCCATGCTTCTACCTCTACCTGACTTCCTACCTTCCCTGGTGCCCATCACCTGCCTTCCTTCCTTCCTTCCTTCCTTCCTTCCACCTGCTCCTTCTTAAGTCTTGGATCCATAGCACCCCCGCACTGGCCCCAGCCACCCCACTCCCTGGTCACTCTCTTGCCTTGGGCTGGGGTACTAATGGGCTGGCAGTTTTCAGGGTTTTGCTTGTGTTGTGTTTTCTCTATCTTGCCGCTCTCCCCACCCCCTCTCTGTTTGCCTCCCCCTGCTCCATCTCGTCATCTCTACCTTCCTGGAACTTAGAGTATGGTTGTCCAGGAGACTTCCAGCATTGGGCACCCTCAGTGTCAGGACAGTCAAGAAGAAGAGTGTGGGGGGCGGGGTGCCCCCTTCTGACCCTCAGCTCCCAGCATCTCTGTGCCCTGCCAGCCCAGCCAAGGCTCCATGTAGGCTGGTTTCAAATACTTCCGTCCTCTTCTTTTCTGTCCTAGCTCCCTTTCCTCTCCTTCCCCTTCTCTTCTCCTTGAGTTGGGAGTCTGAGATTGGCAGGATGTAGTGGTCATCTTTTTCCTCCTCTCCCCAGGAGATGCTCTAAAAACAAAGAGGGGTTCCAAGGAAAAATCGAAGTCAGCGAGAGATGGAGTAGAGGAGTCTTCCAGGCATCCCCTGGGCAGAGCAAGGCTCTGCTTCTAGTTCTGGGGGCTCTTTGCCCACCTCCCACTCCCTGATGAGGACCGTTTAGCCAGTGACCTGGCCAGGGGGTAGGCAAAAAGGGAGAAAGTGAGGGGGTGGGGATGGGGGGAGAACAAAAGGAAGGCAAATGCCAAAGCTAGACAGAAAGGAGAGAGAAATCAAAACGAGAGGAAGGAAATAAAAGAAAACAGAAAGGATGTGACAAAAAAAGAAGAGGAAAGAAAATAAATGAAAAAATAAGAAAAGAGGGAATTATTTTAATGAAATTTGAGTTTGTCTCATTTATGTCATATGTCTTTAGCTTGGAAAACAATTCAGAGATTTTTTTCAGGCTTTTCAAAAGATAGATTCTAAATAAAAAACCATTTCCTTCTCTGTAGATTAATAATTAAAGATAATTTGTAACTTTTCACAGGGAAACTTTTTAGAGCTGGCTTGGATCTGTGCTTCGGACAAAAGAGCCGAGAAGAGAGAGCTGAATTTTTCTCTAAGCATACATTTAGCGTTACAGGGGGGAGCTTTAAAAAATACTCCTGGGATAAAATGTCTTTTCCTAAATAATATCCAAGCACAGGAATTCGAGCCAGGGGCTTCGGGCTGCCGCGAGTCTCCCCGAGCAGAGCCAGAAATCCAGGCTTCTTTTCGGAGGTGGTGGAACCGGGTCCACACGCTGTCTTCGCCCAGCCCGCCGGCCTCCCGGCCCGGCTGCCCCTGCTGTCGCTCTCCACTCTGGCCGATTCCGCTGGGGACCCGCCGAATCCCTGCCGCCCACTGGGTGCCACTTTGAAACCTAAAGAGAAGCAAGGCTAGCTGAAGGTGGTCGGAGGAAGGGAGAGACAACGGCGCTGGCGGCGAAATAGCAGGCAAGCCGCCGCAGCCGGAGTCGGCGCCGGCGGCAGTGGCGCATTCCAGGCCCGACTCTGCGCCGGCTCGGGTCCCCAGTCCTGGACTCCTGTCGTGCCCCCTTCCACCCCTACCCCTTAGATTGGGTACGAGGGGCCGGGCCCGGAGCCCGGGAAGGCTGAATTATTCATCTTTAATCTGCCCGCAGCTGCCGCCTTTTCATACCGGTAACGCGAGTTCTCCCGGGGCCTAAATTATTGATGGTCCGGGTTTGGAGGGCGGGGAGGGGTGAGGAGTGGGGCTAGAGGTAAGGAGACTAGCGGAGAAGAGGGGTTAAAATAAGAGGTTCCGGCCTTCACCAGCCTCCAGATCAGAGGCTTCTCCCAGGGGTTTCTACCAACCATCCTCTCCCTCCCCCCAGAAGGAGACGGGAAAGAATTGAGCGGGACGCAGATGTCCCCGCTTTCTCCGAAAGTCGCCTGAGGCTAGTAGGACAGGGGCGGCAGGTTGCCGGCTCGGTCCGGCCCAACTCAGCCGCGAGAAGTCGCTTGAGCTTGGATTGCTCAGTGACTGCGGCTGCGGGTTGATCGCTCTGGGGGCAGGATTTCTAGACTGCTTTAGACCAGAGAGAATGGGGCACCGGGCAGCGCTCTCAGGCCTGGCATCCGGTAACCACCTGGGCTCCGAGGTTGGAAGCCAGAGCTGGAATCGTGTTGGAGACCCAGCGCCCTCCTCTTGGCCAGGCGAGCAAACGCCCTGGCAGCGCGGTGTCCTGGGCGGCTGCCCAGGTCTAAGAGGTCGGAGGGACACGAGCCGGCTTGGGCTGGCTGCACAGGGTGCCCTGTGAGCCCTCAGCTCGCCTGGGCGACCTGTACCAGGCGACCTGGGCGAGACGAGACGGTGGGCCCCGAGCCTGGCGCAGCGCGGCAGACAGGCGAGCCAAAGCAACCTGCGTTCTCTGGCTGCTACCGGCGACGCGCTGCTCATCGCTGCCTCCTTGTCTGAGCGCAGCCGACTCAGGGCCCCCTGCCTCTTCAAGCCTTCCCTCCTCCACCTGGCTTTCTTTGAACTTTAGACATTAGGGAGGCGAGGAGAAAATATGGACCCTCCAAATACCTGAAGATAGAAAACATAAAGGAAAGAAAAATTCGATTAAAAAAACAGAACAAAACAAAAACACAGGGAAAGAGGTAGGAAAACTCCAATCCGATTAAAAATAGATACAAGGAAGAAGATAGGGTGCAAAAGGGGAATGTCAGGGACTTAAGGATGTTCCTCTCTGTGCTCGGAGCCTTTATGTACGGAGTCATCTAGACCTCCCAAAATTATTCACCTCCAAGCACGCCGCCCCGCACGCACCGACAACTCCCTCTAGCGTGCGGCTCAGGCGGGATCCCGCTCCGTGCAGGTTCTGTCCTCTGCCCGGCCCTTCCTTTCCTCTCCCACATTCTTCCTTGCTGGCATTAATTCTCCCTTTGCTGTTTTCCCCTCTTCTCCCCTCTTTTCTCTTGCCCTGCGTCTCCATTCTTTCCCTCACTTTCTCCATTGCGTCGCCGCGTTCTTTCCCAGCCCTCAGCATAGCTTTTGTGCTTCCGCGTCTCTACCCACCCGCAGTTCCAATCCCCAATCCTCAGCGTTGTGGTCTGCGGGCCACCGTTCTCCCGCGACTCCGGGAACATGCCCTTCCGCCCTGCCTGCTCCCTTCGCACGTCCTGGGCCGCGGACCCTGACTAATGGCCGGTCCCTGCTGTGTGTGGGGTGTTGTGTTTTTTTTCTTGTCTCTCCCCAGCAGGGCACGGGGGTGTGAACCAGCTCGGGGGGGTGTTTGTGAACGGCCGGCCCCTGCCCGACGTGGTGAGGCAGCGCATCGTGGAGCTGGCCCACCAGGGTGTGCGGCCCTGTGACATCTCTCGGCAGTTGCGGGTCAGCCACGGCTGTGTCAGCAAAATCCTGGGCAGGTGAGGGCCTCTAGCTGCCCCTGGGAGAAGCCCTGCCTCCTTCCCCCACCGGCCTTGGGTCTTCAGCCCCAGGACTTGGCTACAAGTTGAGGATGCCAAAGGAAGAGGGAGATGCCGGATTCCGGGGTATCTGGAGAGCAGCTCCTTTTAGACAGGGGGCTTAGGTGATGGCCGCGGCCCTAGGAGCGAGGGTGGAACAGGGTCATCCAGCCCCTTCCCAGCTCTAGGGTTCTCGCAGGGAGGCAGCCTGATTGCCAACCTCAGAAAAGGAGGGACACCTCTTCTAGCAGAGTTAATGCACAGTGAATGGTTGGAGGGATAGGGTGAGGAGCGAACGGGTCCCCAAGAGGAGAAAAATCAGCACTGGGGAGGCGGAAGGAGGGTTTTGGTTCCCATAGGGGCTCTGCACTCAATGGGAAAGGGCTGGAGGTGGTGCCTCAGCCCAGGTCAGCCTGAAGACCTGGAAACGCTGTTCCTCCTGCTCTTCCCAAATGAAAGGTCGTGCTTTCACTCCCAGGGGCGCCCATTGCGGCTGGTGTGCTGGCAGCCCCTGGCATGACCGCCTCCCTGAAGGGAGTGTGCCCCTCACCCTAGCCAAGCGCTCTCTGGAAGCCGGCTCAGCCACGCTAGACCTTTTCCCTCCGCGTGGTTGCCTCAGGCGGGAGAGTGGCTCAGTGGCTCCGGAGCCTGCACCCCCCTGCCCCTGCCATGGCCGCTTCTCCCTGACTCCGCCGGCCTTCCTGGGGCAGGTACTACGAGACTGGCAGCATCAAGCCCGGAGTGATTGGCGGCTCCAAGCCCAAGGTGGCAACACCCAAAGTGGTGGACAAGATTGCTGAGTATAAGCGACAGAACCCAACTATGTTCGCCTGGGAGATCCGCGACCGGCTCCTGGCTGAGGGCATCTGCGACAATGACACCGTGCCCAGCGTTTCTTCTATCAACAGGTGAGCAAGCCACCCCCTGGCTAAAGGGTGAAACTCCTGTTTTCGGCTTCTGCCCACCAGGGCACCCCACCACCTGATCTTAGGATCCTGGTTCTTCCTCCAGCCTCTGCCCTTCCTCCACTCCCAGGTCCAAAGTCTTTGGGGGTAGGGAGAGGGCACCTGGGAGGCAGAGAGAGAGACAGACAGACAGGGCTGTCTCCAGCTTAGGGCTGGGTATTCCCTGCCAGGCTTCTCCTGCCGGAGTACTGGAAATGAATCCAAGTGTTTGTGGTAATTAAGACTCCAAGATTACGCGCCTTGGTATCTAGAGACAATCACAGCCCACAGCCGAAGCCTTTAAAATGACCAGTGTCTATTCATCGCCTCCAAACAGACTTCCCTTTCTAAAGGCATGCTCCCTTCCCCAGGGGCAGCTGCCTGTACTGGCTCCCCCACCCTCCCTGCCAACTCCCACAAAGCTTGCCTCCCCGGAGCCCAGACCTTGCTAGCCAGCTCCGCACAAATTTCCGGCCTACAAGCAGGAGTATCCAGGCCTGCAGAGCAAATGCCAACCACCAGCCAGCAATTGGCAGGGACTAGAGGGGCTGGACGAGGAGAGGGACACCTGGCAGGGAGGGAGAACTCTGGATTCTGAGGCTGAACTTTAGGAGATGCCTCTAACCACCTGGGTGCCTATGTCCAGACCTAAGTGTGCACTGATGACAAGCTCAGGCACATGGGGATGACACCGGCTGGAGTCAGCTCAACATAGAATAGCAGAAAGATAGTTAGTATCCCAGGCCCCAAGCCACTCCAGCATGCCCCCTGGGAGAACACATTTACACGTTCCACGTACATACACCTGGCCAGTGTGCAAATGTATCTGCTTATCTGTGGTGGGTACAGCACACATAAGCAGCAGTTGGAATGCCAGAACCCGGAATGGCTTTACCATCACAGAACTGTGCAACCTGACATCAACAGAGGCTCTGTACAAGTTCCAGATAACGTTGGCCAGCCTTTCAACTGCTGCCCCCCCCCCATTTTAAGGCAAATCCCCAAATGAGGTGAGGGTTAAGGGTTTCATACCCTTGTTATTCTTTGCACTCTTCATGGGCTCATTATCAGGACAACTAATAATTCAGATGGTGCTTTTTTCTGAAACTGGCATCACATATCAAGGTGGTTTTTTATAAAATATTTTGCAAATGATATGGAATTATCCCAAATCATCCTGAAAACAGCAGGTAAAATTAGCTGGTAGAATGTACCTTGGCTAAAGAAGATTCCCTCTGCCACTCTCGTGCTGTAACGTACTGCGAGGCGACCCCTGAAATTATCCCGGTGTGTGCCATCTGTATTAAAATGGTTATTCAGTTATGAACAGGGTAACATAATACTGATCAGCTAATTATACACCCTCCGAAAACCCTCCAGCTCCCTGGGCCTGGCTTAGCTAGGTATTGAAAGCATAGCAGTTTGACATTCAGACACCTTCCAAAGGAGCTGGAGAAAGACACTGGGTGGGTTGGGGAGGGGGGAGGGGGGAGGGGGTGGAAATGAGACTTTTGCATTTAAAAGCCAGAGGAGGAGGCTAGGGAAGCTTTGGGGCTGAAGCAGGAGTGGCGTTTAGGGAAGAAAAAGGGGACAAAGCATTGTTTTCTGGGTTTTCCAGAGATTTAGCCTCTTGGCTGGCTGCTGGTCCTGAGAGTGAGTTGGAACTGGGAGGAGAGCAGCCCTGCTGAGGAGCAGTGGTGCTGAGACTAAGTGCTGGGGCTCTGGAGAACATTTGAGAGAAATGCTGTTGTTAATGATAGGATTTGCTTTGGAGGAACCCAAGACATGTATGGTTAAGGCGTTTTGCCCCTCTTGATGGGCGGAAGATCGGAGTAATCAAGGCAGGTATGGTGGCAGCCCACCATACCCCTCACTAGCTGGGGTGGTTTTGGCTGAGGTGAAAGTCTAGGGATGTGCTAACCCTGAAAAGCCATGGAGAGCAGGGGACAGGTAACCCCAGGATCAAGCTCCAGAGGCCTTGAAGTACATGTTAGAATTGGGAGAAAGTAGAGAAGTGAGTCGCAGGTGAAATGAGAGTGAGAGAAAGAATGGCCTCAGCTTGACATCTCTGACAGCTGCAGAATCTGCTCAGTGTGAAGTCCTAGCACCTGAGGGGCAAGGAGACTTACTTTGGGTGTGGAGAAATAGCCATCTGTGGGCAGGTGTTGCTGTAGATGGCAAGTGGGAAGAGAGGAACGGGGAAGCCACTGACAGCATGGGCAGCCAGCCCTGGGTCCAAAGGTAGGCTTCCCAGCTTGCTTTGAGCACAAGGAGTAGTCAGCGTATTCTGAATTTTGCTTTGGGACAGAATCCTACCATGGTTCATATTTTGGAAAGAATTCTTGGGGCTTCCCAGTGTGCTGCTGAGTCGGGGCTGGAGGGATGCATCTGAGCTTGATGCCCTTAGCTTCATCCCTATAGGGGGAAGGGTTATCTGAGATGTGTTGTTTCACCCTAAAGCCTAACAAAGGCGGGTGTTTTTGCTGGTGCTGATGATGTCAGAAACTTTGTGAAGTCTGGCTCTTTATGGGAAGAGCCTGGAGGTTTTCCCCCTGTGGAGAAAGTGCAGTGCATTGGAACGGGTAGTTCTTGAGATGAGAGCTTTATGGGTTGGTGGGGTGCCCACGTGTGTTGGGGACTTCATAACTGTTATGAATAAGGGTGTACATGTGCCGGTGGTTGGCAAGAAAGGAGGTCCACACATGTTCACCCACCTGAGCCAAATTGTAAGGTTTTTCATCCTTTGCTCCTCAAAACAGATGCTGTCGCCGCACTTGAATTATGCTGTTATGGTTATAAACTAAATTGCTTTTCATGCTTTAAAAATGGGTTTGGCTTTCTCTGATCCTGTCATGATAAAAGTTTGGACAGCCAACCCACATTCTTCATTGGCAAATCCTCATAGAAATACCTCTCTGAGCCAATGGAGTAGGTCAGGGAGGCCTCCCACCCCGACCCCACCCTCAGAGAGAGACCACTGTCAAAAATCCAGAGGGTTGACGGGATTGCTTAGTCTACGGAATTTATCTGAATCATTTTCAATATTGGGTGACTGATCGCTGAGCATGGAGTTGCCAGTTCTTCAGCTTGTACACTGCCGTTGTAGAGGGCAGGTGTTTATAAACAGGTGACAAGATTGAAACCTACTGTGGGAAATGGCCTGCGGGGAGGAAGAGATGGAGGGAGATCCATGCTACTGAACGGGGAAAAGTCACCTAGTTACATCCCAGAGCAATTGACTAGGCAGGAGAGATTTTCCTGATTATATGCCAAACTCTTCTGGTTTGGCTGTTGCTCTTGAGAACAAGAGAATACAGGTCCTTGGATAAACAGACACAAACTCCAGAAAGAGTCTAGGGTTACTGAAGATTCCCTCAGGGCACTCTCTTGGAATGAGCTGACAAGAAGGCCACGACTTCCTTAACTTTTTTAGCCTGCCCTACACTCTTTGGGATCAGGGCACTCCCTGCCCCTAGATCTCTGGAGCGGACTCTTCCAGAGTCCATTTCTTACTGGTCACCTGTCACCCAAACTCTCTCTTAGCCTGTTTGGCCCTAAGAGAGCACATTCATTCTCCTAGCAGGGGAAGCCCTGGCTGCAAGAAGGCTATAGCCCCAGTGCTCTTAAAGAATCCCACCCTGTGTCACTCACAGGTCTTCCTCAGAGCTCTGGCAGTGGGGTGACAGTGGTCTACCAGCTGTTCATTTCAAGACCTTTCCAAATAACCTGGGAGGCATTCATCCTAGCCAAGGGAATGCTGAGGATGTGTTTGGGGCTAAGGTCTGCGTCTCCCTGTCTGAAACTCAGGTTCTAGAACATTGCATATTTGACTCGTGGGCCTAGCTTGGCATGAAGCTGGGCCAGAGGGGCAGCATTTCCTGCCACATCTCCATACCCTTGCAGCTGTTTGGTGGGCAGGACTATTGGTCTCATGGCAAAGAGCCAAGGCAAGTTGATGGGCTAAGAAGACGACTTCTACCCTCAGAGGAATGGGAGAAATATGGACAGAGCACTTGCCTTCTGTGGCCCTGGCCCTACCAGTCCGGGCCACAGATAGCAAATACACATGTCAGTTTCTCTCTGAGAAGCCTTGCTTACCTGTCACTTCCCAAAGAGGGTCTCCTGCTGCTGAGGTCACCTCTCATTAGAATAACTTTGAAACAGGCATGACTGTTGGTCCTCTTATTCCTTAAAATGAGCTGGAGTTGTCCTCCCACAAAGCCATTTCTGTCCCCTTATTTATTTTAGACTTTTTGGCCATCAGTCACATTGGTTGTTTCCCTGGGTCAGAGTGGGTGTTCAGGCCACAAAATGGCTTTCAGGTGTGAGTAGTGGCTGGTTTTCCTGAGCTCTTACCTCAGCTGGTAACTCTTGAGAAGAGGCAGACAGGAGGGGTTGTTCCTCATGAAAGCTCCAGGTGGGTTTTGGAGGGTTTTATGCAAAGAAAGAAACCCATAAATACATACATACATACATACATACATACATACATACATACATACATACATACATAAAAATAGTGTCCCAACTATTCTGAGAACTCAATAAAACAATCACATCAAAATGAAGCGGCATAAATCTTGTGTCTGCACAGGTAACCCACTCAATTGCTTTTATTATTGCTCAGGCTGCTTCCATTTATTACCGTCCATAGCCTGGGCCAAGGAGGTTGCGTGGAGGGTGGTCTCCAGTGCAATCCTACACCCTGAGAGGCAACAATCAACCCATACAGCCAGGGATTTCGATGGGAACTCGGGAAGGGCCCATCTGTCTGCATGAAAACCAATCAATAACTCTGTAACCAGAGCCCTTGTCACAGGGAAATGGACAACACAACAGTTCAATACAGGGGCCACAGGGGGAATTAGCCAAGTGGAGATGGAGCCAGGCAGGAGAAGGGCAACTGGGTGCCAGGAGAAGGGAGTAATTGGGGAGGGAGTGGGGTGTGGCAGGGGAGAACAGTA